AGCTGGAGCGGCGGAAGCGCGCCCGGACGGAACTTTTGCTTTTGGAGCCGATACGTTGAGGGTGACGTAGCATGAGTGCTGGGGCAGACCTAAGAAGGGCACCTAGCTGTTCTCCGCTTCTCATATATTGAGTTTGAGTCGTTAATAGGAATAATTTTTCTAGTTGCGGTCGAAAAAGGGGTTTGAGCAATTTTCCGAAAAGCAAGATGGCCGCTACCATAATTGCTCTCGGTGGGAAATCCGTTTCGTTGGGCGCTGTAAACGCAGGACTGCTGTGACGATGATATTTGGAGGCGAGTGAGATGTTTACTAAGTTTGTGCATTAAGTGTGCCAAGTTTTACTCAGACAGCAGGTGTGAAAGTTATGTTTCGAACGAATAAAGAAATAAAGCTCTATGGGATGTCCAATATTGGACCCAAAACGTTGTGTTATAACCGAGCTGTGCGAAATGCAGATTTGGACAGATAGGTTCTTGGCCATGACCATAACTTCACACAACACTTATTATACCAAACACAGGTGGCATAGGAAACCAGGTGGAAATTTGGCTTGGGCGGCGTAACTGAATAAGAACCGGTTATGACTGTGAAAGGGATATCAAGAGAACACCACTCGTCGTGGGAGGTGGAGACTTTACTGGTAGGAAGGAACTAGTGGACTGTACTTCCAACTGAAACAACTTTACGAAAGGTGGTTTCAAAGCCGAGAAAACAGTGCTGTCGGCCAACACACGATTTGGCCGTCAAGGGCATTTGCGGTCAGCTGTTGTGTAACAACTTGGTTGTGCGAGGTGCCGATTTTTGGCACAGGGGTACTTGGGCATGACCGTAACTTGACACAACACTTATTATACCAAAAATAGCTGGCATAGCAAAACCAGGTGGAAATTTAGTTTGGGCGGCGTAACTGAATGGGAACCGGTTTTAACAGTCAAAGGCTGTCAAAAGAACACCACTCGTCGTAGGAGGTGCACACTTTACAGGTAGGAAGGGACCAGTGGACGGTACTTCCAGTTCCGTCAACTTTGCGATAGTTGGCTCCAAAGCTGAGGAAAAAGAAGTTGTCTACAGCACTCGAGGTGTCGGTGTTTCCACATCCAAAAGTAGGCTGTTCAAAAAGAAAGCACACCGAATAAACATTCATACTCAAACGCCGATTGTCCAGTGATTCCAAGTTTCATTTTAGTTTTCCTTAGATTTATATTTGTCACTTTTCGGACTGTCCGAATCTTTCTTCATGATGTACAAACTGCGTGCCATACTGGTCCAGAAATATCATCTATATGAACGATGGGGACGAAACTCCTTTTGGAGGGCATTCCTCCAACGAAATTGGATTTGCATACCCGAGAGTGTGGGATGGCATTTCAGTTCGTCCCATCGGCGCTAACATATGTAGGCGTTACTGGTACGAAAACAAACGCAGAGCGCCACACGGCAGTGTATAGAACATGTCAGGCGTGCCGACACAGTGGCAGACATGATCGGGAGACCAAATTTCTCGAGTCGTACGGCACGGGTCTGTCGCTGTCTCACAAATCATCGGCGAGTTGATAAACTGTGAAACTTTGTCCCCACGAGATACGACGCATAAACATTGGAGCACTTAACGACGCAGCAGTTCAAGCTGTCAACCCAGCGCAACCGCACCGCTCCGGCTTCAATGCGTACCAATGTACACGGCATGGTTTCGTTTCGCTGGGGTTCTCACTGCCTAACTTCGGTAACGGCCGTGCGGCGGCGCGTCGGTCGCGTTGGGCGGAGTGTATAGGCATGTCGACAGCTCAAAGGTACACTCTAAAAAAAAAAAAAAAAGGTATTACCTTACACCTTTTTGTCCTATATAATGCACCGCAAAACTTCATTTCGACGTGCTGCTCACTATAGTCGAACAGGCGGCCCAAATTTTACGAGGGCTTGATAACGGTGCGATATAACTTTTTAAATAGCTAAAGTACGTATCAAAAACCACAGAAAGAAAACACCGAGGTTTAGCAATAAAGCCAATAATACCGCGATGATTTTTTTTTGGCAAGTAACACGTATATTAGCTATTTAATAAGTAGCACCACGCGGCTATCAAGCCTCTTGTGAAGGTCAGTACCGTCAGATCGACGTCAGTGCGCTGTACGTCGAACTAAAGTTTTGGGGTGTCTTATATGGGACAAAGGATGTAAGAATACACCCTTTTTTTATTAGAGTGAAAACATCCACCAAAAGAGGGTGCAGTCTTGAAGGGGGTTGCGACGCTCATCGCCCTTATGCGTTTGCAGTCACCGTCTTAACCAATCGCGTGTAGCGAAAGACGCAGGTTCGCGGCACTGTGCGTGATTGGTCCGGTCGGAGAGAGCAAACGCACCAAGGATGGCGATGCCCTTTCGGCACTGAATGCTTGATTGACTCCCTCGGACCGTCTGCGGTCGGACGTCTAATTTGAGGGCGCTGCTCAGAGCACATGCCCAAAACGAACTCATATAAATAGCCTGCTATGACCCGTAATCTCGATGGCGTGGAATGCACGTTGCAAAATAGCTCCGCAAGCTCGCCGTCAGCACGCTCTCTGCAGTCGTGCACGCTGCTACGGCCGCCACTCAGCACTCCCAATACATAGCTCGCAACGGTCGCCATTGCTGGGTTCTGACGGTTATTTCTACTTATCGGATTCTTCGAACTACAACTTTTGCGGTGTGAAACTAATACCGAGAATCGGAACGCTCGCGGCGCGTAAAATGCTGGTATGACCGCGAATTACGTTACGTCCAAGCCATATATGCTTAGAGAATTGCGAGAGCCTGGCGCCCCGACTCGTGCCCCGACTCGTGCCCCGAGTCGTGCCCCATGAGAGCGTCACGGTGAGCAAGTATAGGGAGTATTCACTGGCGGCCATATTCGTGTGCGCTGCTGCTGAGCGCGTGCTGACGGCGAGCTTCCGCAGTCCTTTTGGAGCGTGCATTTAGCACCATCAAGTTTTCCGGTCTTAGCAGGCTATTAATGTGAGCTCGTTCTGAGCATGCGTTCTAAACATCGCCCTCAAATATGGCGTCCAGTGAATACCTCCTATATGTGCAGCTTGCGCGTGCACATAGCTTTGGCAAGCTTGGAATGGCACGGGCTTCTCCGCAAGAGCAGAGACATGGCGTCGGCCGGTGTCCATGCTCGCAATCGCCTATTAGCGGCGAGATGTTTTGGTGGCGCCCTCCTATGGTTCCTTCTCGTGAAGTATTACCTTGCGAACAATAAGTTTGATGGTGTTTGTAATGGGCATGGTGGAAGCCTGAAATCATAGTGCTTTCAAAGCAACACCGCCGAAATTGAAGTTCTTACATTCCTAGTATTGGCGTCGATGAGAAATCCTTTGCTGACGTCATAGTCAGCATTCTGTCAATTGTGGTGGGCCGACCACAGCGACGCTTTCGATCGCTCACGTCGCCAATATAGCAGAGCTCTCCAAACGTTTTTGGCTAAGAGGCAGGATTAGCGATATGTCGAAGTCTCGAGGGCCGGGGGAGAAAACAAAAAAGCGTAATCATAAACGAAGAAAACCTAAAGAAATAAACCCAACCATTTGAACGCATAAATTAAATTTAGAGTAAGGCTTTAAAAACTCCTAAGTTGGGTTAATATGTATGTTTCCATGTGATATCTTATATTGATCTAATTATGACATTACGCGATGCTTGAGGCAAAGAAAACTCACCAGTCATAAAGCGAAACGCCTAGAAACTTTGGCACATTTGCGCCCTGCAAAACACTAATGAGAATGACAAAACTAATGGACAGACGGCACTAAGCGCAATGTGTATGAGAACGCAATAAAATTTTAGCATAGTTCCACAGACATGTAGCGGGGGACTAAGAATGTTAAAACTCGTGATGGCAACGTTCAATTAATGATATGGCGATTCGCGTTACAACGAAGTTTCTCTCGTAATTTCTGGTATCTTAGTTTGTGCGCCTGGAGCGCGTCGCAGCGCCGCTTCCTTAGGCGCAGCTCTCTTTGCACCGCTAGGAGCCGGTCCCTGCTGGAAGAGGGCCGGGGACCAGGCTTCGTTGGAAAGAGCGCGGCCAGCCGGGAGCCGGTCGGAAGACTTCCGCCGGCCGAATCCGGCCCGCGGGTTGGAGACCCCTTGCCCTATAATGCGGATCGCAAGTTCGTCTGCTTCTTTTGCAGGGGTTGTGGTGACGTCAGACCGTCGAGCTCTGATTGGCTCTGATCGAAGGATAGTGGGTAGACCTCGAGGCAGCTCGCTTTGAGGTCTGCCCACCTATCCTTCAATCAGAACCAATCAGAGCTCGGCGTTCTGACGTCACCACAGCGCATTCAAAAGAAGCAGACGAAGTTACGCTCCGCATAGCATAGCGCTACCGCCCAGTCGCCGACAGTTCAAAAAGTGCAGGGCGTGGCGGATCCCGACAACCTTATTATCGTTCAATAGTCGCAATATTGATAAGAATGCCAAAGAACGAATCGGGAAGCAGTCACCTAATAAGCCCCGAGGTCTTTAAGCTGCCGTTACCTGAAGAGCGGTTTTGCTACCAGGAACTCGTGCTGTGACTTCAAAGCGTGCATGTATATGTATATGTATATACGTAGAGAGGGGGGTGAGAGGGGCCGGATAGACGTAGATAGCGGAGTAATACTGGATCCATGGAAGGGCAATATTTACCCTAATATATACCGACGTATCAAACAGGGACCGTTCTTCATCAGGGTGGATCTCGTCTTATATATATGAGTGTGTGTGTATGTGTGTGTGTGTGCGTGCGTGCGTGCGCGTGCGTGTGTGTGGGCGTGTGTGTGTGCGTGTGTGTGTGTGTGTGCTCTTGAGCACGTTCCCTGAACGCTACCGTACACGCGGTAGTCAGCGGTAGCCAGAGGTAGCGAAATCTGCCTATTAACGTACGACTTTGAGGAAACGCAGCTGGCGTTCTTGAACTCCCGTTGCCGACGCGCGCGTTTTTACTCGGCGCCGTGAGTGTTCCAGCTGATGCGATCTCACCTCGCCGGCAGCGCGACGACGACGACACAGGCGACAGGTAGAGGTAGGCGTCGGGTCGTCAGACGGGCGGCATGCCGGGGCCCGGGGAGGCTGCCCTCTCAGCCCCGAGTTCACCAAGGTCCCTTCAGTATCCGAGTGGTGCGTCGGGGGGCACTCGCCGCACTCCTCGGCGCAAGGATCCGCTCTCTGCTCGGGTTCCAAAGTGCCGCGACTGCTCTGCTCATTCGGAACGCAGCTGGCACCCGACAGCGGTTTCGGCCGTGCTCAGCGGCCGCGGCCTCGCGCCACTATGAGTTTCGCACCCGAAGGTTTTTCATCGGGTCGCTCTATTCCGGTAGAATTTTCCGTGTTCGGAGTATCCAACGTGATGCACGCATTTTTGTTGCGAGTTTCTTTTTGCAATCGATATCGAGATTTCCTTTTTTTTTTGCCAAGCGTTGGTGAAAATATTTTTTTTTAAAGGAGTATATGTGTAAATAAAGACGACGTCGAAGCAAGTATTCTTCCGCACAACCAGACTGATTTCTGTCAAATGTGCACCTTCAAGAATGTCTGTATCAGAAACGTCCATGTTTACCCGCAAAAGTAACTGAATACCGTTACTCGTTACTAGCTCAAAAAGTACCTAAATGCCGTTACACGCTACCGATTCTCAAAAGAAACGAGTTACATTAACCCCCAAAGAAACGAGTTCCTTTTCTCGTTACTTTGACTGCCAAATATACAAATGCTTTTGTTTCCTAGTTTATTGACCTCTTTTCAGCAGTCGTTGCACTTAAGCAGTAGCTGCCTCTCGAAGCTTTCATCGGTTTTGTTTCCCCGCTTGCTTGAGAGTACATCTCCGGCAACGCTGAAGAGTCGTTCTAAACTGACGCGCTCGAAAGAACAGCAGTATTGTGCTTGAGGAAGAGGTGAAGAATATGGGATTCCCGTTTCTCATTTTGTTTTTTCTGCTTCTAAAGTTACAAGCTCACAATGGGTTCTGTGAACATCTTAAAAAGGAACGATGGCAAAAAAAAAAAAAAAATTGATCAAGGGTTTAATTCGGTCTGTACACGATTCTAGAAGGTTCAACCAACGAACCTTATTGTGTTCTCTGGGTGCAGGACATTCCCAGCTGCAGATTTCCACTGACGTGCCCAGCGATTGACGTTGCTATACTTTCATACTCTTTAGTTATTTCTCTGGTTGACTGTCTGCCTTTGTCGCAATATACGCACACTCAGGTTATGATTAATGCTAGACTGCATAAACGGTGTTTTACACGTTACTTCTCAAATGTACCGAAATACCTTTACTCGTTACTTGGTGTGATGAACTGTGATCGGACATTTCAACGAGGTGCAACAAAGAAGAAGACGACGGGATTCGGAAAGAAAAGAAGCACGATTCGGAGCGCGTGCACCGAACTGATCGGACGCACTTTTCCTTGCTCTGGGCATTTTCGATTATTTTAGTCATCAGTCGCAACTACGAACCACCGGCTGCAATTTACAGCAGCGCGGGTTACTTCGAGTAACCCGGCACATGACATGACCTTCCAACCCGGTGCAAACGTACTGGAATCAGCGACCAACCTTCCTTCGTGCTCAAAGCAGACTCCTGCTAGGAGGGACCACACATACAATGCAGCTCAAGACACTCAGACTGGACTCTCGACCCTTGGAAAACGTCGCAACGACGGGGACGGTGAGCCTGCGGACTTGCTGGCGACTCCTGCCAAACTGCAAGCACCACCGGGTGACTCAATGGAGGAAGACTTAATTGAAGGTGACCTAGAGGGCTTCGTTCTTGCCTCACATCGCCGACAAAGAACGACAGGTATCCCTGTACTCCTTACACCGGTCAATGAGGAGCATCGTCTGCAGCGACAAAATCCACTGACCTTGAGTACCGAGGTGAACGAAGCAGCAGCTGCTGCCATTTTGCGACATCGCTTCACAAATAGAGGTGGCCTTATGGTGGAGGTTGCTGAAACCACCACAGTCGACCGACTCCTGAAACTTCGCCTTCTCGGTGGGGTTCCCATCAAAGCTACAGTGCCGAGGACTTACCTACAGAATGGTGGTCTTGTCAAGGGAGTGCCCCTTTGGCATACCGATGCCGACATAACATCATTTCTGCAACAAGACGGAGTTATTGCAGCCCGCCGCTTATATCGACGTCAAGGAAAGTCCGGAGAAGCTGCGCAACCAACAGACCGCGTAGTCCTGACCTTTCGCCCAAATACAGACCGCCCAGTCCGAGTAAATCTCGGATTTACAAAACATGACGTAACAGAGTTTATTGAAGCTCCAACCAGATGCTACAACTGCCAAGCACTTGGTCATGTCGCTAAATATTGCAAAGGTGCCGCAAAATGCAAGAAATGCGCCCAGCAACATTCCACCAAAGACTGCAAGGGCGAAGCACCATTCAAGTGCGCCAACTGCGGCGGAGATCACCCAGCAAGCTACGTCAATTGTAAAGCGCGGCTGACGGCTCTTGCAAGAACCAAGAGATTCGTCCATGGCCCGAAAGTTGCGCCGTCAACAAATGAGGCAGAGGTCCCTCAAGGCCCCTGGCCTCCTCTTGAATCATCCACCGCCGACCTTCAAGCAACACAAGACACGGTGTCCCCTGCGTTAAACATCAAGGACTCACCCCCCAAGGGTAAAGGCAAGAAGTCTCGACCTGCTGCGAAATCCACCCTTATGGCCAACCAATGGCCTCCTCGTGACCCCGCACCCGCTTCAGGAGAGCTCAACGCATCAGGCGTACCTCCTAGCACTGCAGGTACGCGCCCACACAGCAAAACCTCCGCTGTAGTCCTGCCTCGCCAGCAACAGGTTCCCTCTGTCTTTGGCGCAATGACAATAGGTGACATCATACGCATTATATTCTCCGTCCTTCGAGGTCTCACGACCCAACTGCCGCCATGCACATTCAAAGACATCTTGCAGAGAATCATGGCATTCGAACCGGCAGTTATTGCAATGACCGGAAGTTCACACCAGGGTACTGGATGATTCCTCATTTGATGAAAGAGTCAAAGGAGCGACCGTTTTTCAATGGAACGCGGGATGGCTTAGTGCCCGCCTTTCAGAGTTCCGACAATTCACATTCAAACATAAGTTCCCAATTTTAGCTATTAGCGAATCGCGTGTAGCATCAGACTTCCGGCTTTCAGGTTACGAAGTATTTCAATCAGCTCGTCCCTCTAACGCCAGTCGGGTTCTTCTTGCCTTACGAAAAGACTTGACATATGTTTCCCATAATATCACATCACATCAAGACAATGAGTACGTCGGCGTTACTGTTCGCAAGGGCAAACTAACTTTTACTGTAATCGCTGCCTATATAGCTCCAGCTTGCAATTTTGATGCTACGCGAATTCATGATATTATTCAACAATGTAACTCGCCAGTTTTGGTTGTTGGCGACTTCAACGCCCATAATATAGCTTGGGGTAGTGTAAGAACTACACGTCGGGGTCGTGAACTACTTGAGCTGGCAGATTCTCATGATCTATGTCTTCTAAACGACGGTTCACCTACATTCATCCGAGGCAGTCACTGTAGCAGTTGTTTAGATATTGCCTTCATGTCACGCGAACTCGTAACTCGAAATTCCTGGTTTGTTGACGTAGAGAGTCATGGTAGTGACCACATCCCTACCTACATCACAGTACGCGGCTTCCAAGCTGATAGAGCCAGACATGATCGAACCTCATATATAGACTGGACATGCTTTCGGGAGAGTGTCGAACAGCGCATACATATGACAACGACCTACGAAGAGTTTGTTTCAGTCATGAATCAATCAGCAACAGAAGCAACCAGGACAGTCAATCTTTCGGCCTCACGAACTGTTGTAGATTCAGAGTATGAAAAACTTCGAGCTATTCGCCAAAGGGCTGAGCGACGCGCACGTCGAACTAAACTACAAGCTGACATTAGGGAAGACAGGCGCACACAAAAACATATTCGCCGTCATTTAGATAAACTCGGACAAAAGAAATGGAGGGGAACCTGTGCGTCATTTGATCCCCGTGCTCCCCTCTCAAAAATATGGCATATTGCACGCGGGTTAAGATTTCCACCACAACAGAGAATGCCTTTTCACGCGATATCACTTTTCCTAAGACGCTCGCAATTGCACATTGCTGAGGAATTCTGCGCATTGCTTGTCCTATCAGCAGTGAGTGACAGTGATATCTCAGATATAGAGCATCAAGCCTCAGTTACTCCATTTTCACGTTACATGGATGATGTATTTAATGCCCCGGAATTGGATCAAGTTCTAGCTTCCCTCAGTCATTCTTCTTCTCCAGGTTCAGATAACATAACCTATGGCACACTCGCTCATTTGGGGCTTGACGCTCGCCAGCGTTTGTTGGACATATTCAACACTTCGTGGACAAGCGGCAATATACCACCTGACTGGAAAACGGCCTGCGTTGTGCCCATCCTTAAACCGGGCAAGTCCCCTCTGGATTTAAAGTCTTACCGACCAATCGCTCTAACAAGCTGTGTCAGCAAATGTATGGAGCGATTAGTTCTATCACGGATTGAATGGCTTCTTGAATCGCAATCGATATATCCAGCTACCATGACAGGATTTAGACAGGGTCGTAGCTCCATTGATAATGTCGTAGACCTTGTAACTCATGTTGACGACAAGAAGCTTCGCGGGAAAATTACAGTAGCTGTATTTCTTGATGTCTGCGGAGCTTTTGATAATATCAAACATTCGGCAGTCTTACGGGGACTCCAATCTATCGGAATTGGCGGTCGTCTTTATGCATGGATATCTGACTACCTTAATAATCGAACGATCTACATGCGCACAAAGGAAGGGGAAACTTCTCGTCACAGAGTGACCAAAGGAGTGCCTCAGGGGGGTGTTCTAAGCCCGGTCCTCTTTAACATTGCTCTCATTGGGATCACCGAAATTCTCACAAGAGCTGTACACCTTACAGTCTACGCAGACGACATTTGCCTCTGGACGTCTGCAGGCTCACCTAAGCTCGTACATGCACGCCTACAAGATGCGCTGTCCAAAATTTCTCAGTTCCTTCTCACACGGGGGCTTGAGATTGCGCCAGCAAAATCAACTGCCGTGGCCTTTACACAGATGAAGATGACACGATATCCACTTTCCATTAATGGAACTCCAATCCCATATGCGCCGAATCACATATTTCTTGGCGTTTCCATTG